GCCTTGTGCCCTTGTGAAGGGGGAGCCTGGGGATGACGGAAAACCTGGCCGACAAGGGATTCCCGGCAGCCCTGGAGAGAAGGTGGGTAAAATGCTTGTGTGTGAACATCCTCTGCCCTTTCTGAGAGGGGGAAGTCCCCTGCTCCGTCCCTGGCTTTGAAGCAGAAATTGTCCAAGGGCTTTGCTGTGAGACTTGCTGACTTTTGTATGCATCCCTGTGGCTTGCTCATGCAGGGCACGCCTGGAAACCCGGGTGAGCCTGGACCAGTAGGAGAAACGGGTGATGAGGTGAGTCCTCTGCTAATGCCCACAGTGCCCCCCATGCCATCGTCACTGCCTGACCACCCCTATTATTTCTCCACAGGGCGCTCCAGGCCCAGATGGTCCTCCTGGAGAGCGGGTAAGCGAGGACACTACTGCCGGGCACCATGCTGGCAGGGGCTGGTACCCTGCAGAGGAGGAGGAGGGTGGGGGTTAAGCATGCTCAGAGGTGGGCAGTGAGGGGAGGGCTTTGCCCCTGCCTGGAGCAGGTCCTGATTCTGTGTTCCCACCATCTCATTGCAGGGCAGCAATGGAGAGAGAGGCCCCCCAGGGTCGCCGGGTGACCGCGGGCCAAGAGGAGAGCCGGTAACTGCATCCGCGGGGTGGTTTTCTGCATCTGCTTGCAAACGGGGTCATGCTTGGCAGCCGGGGGGTGGAAATAGGTGCACAGTGGCTAACTCCAGCAGCCAGTGGGAAAGCTCACTGCCTTCAATTGCCAGCCTAGGGGGGGACCTGCCGTTGTCCCTTTATGGTGGCAGCTAACCACCAAACAGCCAAAACCTAGAAGAGAGCATGCCCAGCAAACGTACAGCAGTCAGCCCCTGCTTCACGGCTGCAAAAACAGTTGATAGAGAGCAAAGAGGCCATTTGTCCTCCTCGAGATGCTTGGGAGTTGCATGGGATACTGGTGGCTTGGGAAGGAGAGCACAGGTGCTGTTAGTGGCATGGCAGTGTGTGTGGATGGGAGGGGGGACACCATTCCCTCCCCTTTTGAGTGGGAGTCACTAGGAAAGTATTTTTCCTGCCTGCCAGGGGTGAGTCACGGATTCTGAGCATGGAAGGGACAGGCAGGAGCCCTGGGCAGGCCAGGACAAACATGTGGCGAGCAGCAGAGTTGTCACGCGCGCCAGGGAGGGACGAGGGTTGCTGCTGCGCAGAGTGGGGCGGTGGGAGCCAGGGTGTCCAGCGGCAGCGTCCTGTTCTGGCACTGCTGGGGGGTCCTACGTTCTTCCCCTGTCCCTGTAGTGAGGACAGCCAGCACCCACTACTGGCACTGAGCTGGGGCAGATGTCCACCCTGGGGAGGGGGCAGCTCTGGCAGGGGGCTGCTGGCAACCTCCCCCTTCCTGTTTACCCATGGTGTGCAGGGCAGATGTGCGCAGGAGATGAAGGCA